TATATATATATATATATATATATATATATATATATATATATATATATATATATATTGTGTGTGTGTGTGTGTGTGTGTGTGTGTGTGTCTATATCTATATATATATATATATATATATATGCTTGTATATGTGTCAACATACCGTAACATTGGTTGTACATGACCCTATATAATCCTCGCTTCCGTCCTTGTTCCAATCTAAGCAGTCGATTCTCAATTCGCGATTCGCATCCCCAATCGTCAGCTTCTGATACGATATCTCAAACTTAGGCCAGTTTGGATTGCAGTTATTCATGATATGTACACTCTTATACACTGCGTCAAATTGGCCATCATCTCGCTTCCTATATATGCGCAAGAACGGATCACTTTTTCCGAAGAAACCATCCTTATTGTCCAAGCCAGTGGCGGAAAATTCGAACTCAACAACTCTCCTATCTTCTACTACTTCTGCAGCGGATACAACGAGTATGCCACCTATATCGCGTTTCCCCTCCGACTTTAACCGGAATTCCCGGGTAGATCCCCTACTTCCTACGATGTCCCCTAAAGTAGTCTTAGATACACCGATTATGTCCTGCTTGTCTAACCCCAATCCGGGCTTGTCAACGTCCACCAACACAAAGGTAAGCTCCTGTCTCTGCTCAAATCTATAGTCTATTGTAATAGCCGTAGTAAAAACCGGGTTTAGATTGTCCCGTATTGTCTCCGTCTTACCTATGAGCCTCCCATACTTGCTTGTACTATTTTTGTCTTTGTCACCTGCGTATACCCACACCTGCGGATCGGATTTGCTGAGGATGTCTAAGTCGCGTAGCCCTTTGCCTTTGAAGAATAGGTCGACCTTGGACTTCAGGTTGTTATCCACCATATTAAATTGCTTGTATTTGATGAACTCTCTCCGTCACACTAGTTTGCAGTTTGCTTCCCCTGTATACACACATATAACTGATTCTGTAGAGAAAGCAGTTTGCTTCCTATATACTTTAGCAATTAGGTAGAAAGTGGGAAGTTCATTTGCCCCTTTTACAAATCGATGTGGAGTACATATCGAGTTTTCAACCAAATCCTGTTTTCTCGACGGCTACGGCCTTATCACATCGACCTGAAAACGGATAGCCGGACAGAAATTTCGTAAATACATTTCTAAAAAAATTCAAGTCACAGATGCATATTTTGCCGAAAGTGCCAAAATGGCACATATTGGCCCTATATAGTGCCATACGGTGGTCAGAACAACCCAAACTCGACGGATTTGGACTCTCAATATGTGGGTCTCGCACAAGTCTCTCAACTAGACCTTATGGCATCATCAGAAAAATACAACTAAATAACATTTATTATATAATTTTGTATAAATTGACCCAATAAGGGGTATAATCGCGCACTTTTAAGCATAGGCACCGCTACAAACATGGTAAAACCTAAAGCGTAAGATCACCAAAAGCACATCTAAGCTAGGGCACACAAAGTCTAAAAGTGGCACATCAGGTAGATTTGTATGGGGATATGTCTCTACGCTCAATGTATCATCGGCTTTAGTGCACTTACCATATTCTGAACAGTGTACCTACAACATATACGTGAGATTTCTGTGCCAAATAAAGTTCCTCTGGAACTCGTCGTATTGTCTTTTTTGGGTTTTTCATACATATTCATCGTGTATTTATTGGTGTGTATTTATTTGTATAAAAACAGCCCCGGTCCTTTTTTTCTATTTCTTTTTTTTAAGTATGCTTAATATTCAGAAGGCTATGTAAATATGGCCGAAATTTGAAAATCGACCCCCACATGGCAGTCCTCTCTAGCTCCGCCTCTCGCAAGGCCCAGCGAAAAATAGGGCATGCGAGACATTTTCTGCAAAACAACGAGTGTCCGATTTTTATTGCAGTTTTGGACAGCCCCGAACCTGGCGAGGACGGCTACCAATATTTTATGAATTTTTGTCCACACAAAAAAGATATGTATTCAACTTTGAAAATCGGGATGAACTTCCCACTTTCTACCTGTGTGCACCATAGCAACAAGAGTGAAGTCGTCTCGACTCTCGGAGGCCGGAGTCTAGAGTGACGAGTCTCTCGATCCAATAGTTCCTTCTCAATCAGATGTATTCACCATAGGGCAGATCAATGAGCCTTCTAAAATCTAAATAAACAATAAATATTTTAAACCGAACACTTTCTTCATCCAAAACGTATTTTAGAAAAAAGACAAAATAAAAACCAAAACAAAAATAGTTTGAGTTGGGAACTAGGGACTCGGGGAGTGGGGAGTGACGAATGATGACTCTGTATTTCGATGAGTCACGAATGTTTGTTTGCTTTTCTGCGCTTCTGAAGCATCCCCTGACTCCGTGAGGCCTGATGAGGGCCCTGAGGCCTGATGAGGGCCCTGAGGCCTGAGTGGTTGAGCCCCTGACCCCTCCAGAAGTCAGGGGTGTCACACTGTCAGAGTGTCAGTGCGACAGACACTTTTTGATATATTTATGTATTTATGTATGTACCTGGTCGCTTTCCGAACTTCAAGTGATGCTATTTAGACACCTACATAAAATACAGATGTTCTGTTTTTAGGAGGCTATGACAGTCAGGTGCACTAGTAACCCAAGATGCGACTGTGCAAACCAGTTACATTGATAATAGTGCTCACATGCGCACTGTTAGCTTACTGTGAGTATATTGTCTTTCACTGGGCGGCTCACCAGTGGAGATACGGTAAGATGTACTCATGTTTACACCGCGCACTACTATATGTGAGTGATATTTGTGTTTAAATGTGCGACTGTGTTTCAAATTCCATGCATGCACATACATGACACGTTAAATTTATGCATGGATATATATTCATGTATGTATATGATTGTGTGTGTGCCTGTGCATGTGTCTTGGTTTACCGGTGAGTGTATGTATTTATGTATGTTTGCATGCATGTATGTATGTTTATGTATATATATATATATATATATGGATGTATTTATGTATGTATGTATATATAT